AATGATCATTCAAAATATAGTTTGTGATAAAAAATATTTGTTTCACAATACTAAGAGCTTTTTTTTGYTTACTCAACTCTTTTTTATGCGCTTAGTGCATATTATGTAATATTATAATTTTAAGAGCATATTTTACAAAATTATAAATACTAATTAAAAAAACATGATTCCTATTTAATAATACTGTTACATACTTGTGTTATGAGATTAATATCAACATTTTTATTGGGCWAGTCCCACTTCATAAATAAATAAATATCCAGTTTGTTTATTATTTTGATAACTAATAATTTTAAATAATTTTAGGTCGATCTTGATATTGCCAAATTGTAAATCAATTATGAACTGGACATCATCTGTCAATGGAGAACCAGGTATTTTTACTGRGGTTATGGAGGCTCTAAAAACTTTAAAAGCAGAAGATAAGCACTGTAATTTATGTATGGATGCCATGGCATTGCGAAAACAAATTTTGTGGAGCGATAAATTTAACAAATTCGTTRGATATTGTGATTTTGGAGGTGAGTTACAATTAGAAGGGTTGGATGTTCCTGCTACTGAAGCATTAGTTTTCATGTTGGTAAGYSTAAATGGGAGATGGAAATTACCAATTGCTTACATATTACAAAATAAAATAAGTGCAATTGCCCAAGCTGAGCTTGTTAAGACCGTATTGAACCATACTCATCAAGCTGGTATTACTGTTTGGGGAATCACTTGCGATGGAGCATACACAAATTCTGCGATGATGAAAATATTAGGTTRTGAAACAGGCAACAATTATAATGATATAAAATGTTGGTTTCCTCATCCTGTTAATAATGATAAAATATATTTCATTCCTGATGCTTGCCACAATCTCAAACTTGCCCGAAATACATTAGGGAATTGTAGAGTATTAAAATCAAATTCAGGCTTCATACGGTGGGAACACATTTCAAGTTTACATAATCTGCAGCAAGAAATACAATTAAAATTTGGAAATAAAATTTCTGGTTCACATATACAGTGGCACAATAATAAAATGAAGGTGAAGTATGCGGCACAAACCCTCAGTTCATCCACAGCCGATGCTTTAAATTTTTTTTAAAAATCAAAATATTTCTGAATTTATAAATTGTGGTGCAACCGAAGAATATTGCTGTATGATTGACCGTTTATTTGATTTTTTAAATTCTAAAAGTATATTCTCCAAAAATTTTAAATCACCCATTCACATAAAAACCATTGACTCACTTGAAAAAAAAAATAGTACCTTTAATTACATATTTGTATACCCTTGAATTTGATAACAAACCATTAAGTAAAACCAACAAAAAAACATTTATAATAGGATTTGCTATGGCTGTTAAGTCACTTTTTAGTATTGCCAGATCTGTATTTGCAAATGATACATTAAAATTTTATTATATACTAACCTACAAGTTTTCTCAAGATCACCTGGAGTTATTATTTGGCCAAATAAGGCAAAGAGG